GTCCCAGTGCAGTCTGGATGGAACTTCTCCCATGAGACATTTCTTCTCAGTGCCAGGAAAGCTTTACTTGAATTTGCATATTTGCAATTAAGGCAATGAAAGTCTGGCTGAAGAGCTGTAACTAAGCTGCTTTCTATTGCAGTCTTGAAACAAATTGAGGTGGGACACGGTGCTTACTTTATTCTTTCCCTACTGCCACCCCCCAAGCCTGGGCTTTGTTTTTTGTTCTTTAACAAATTACTGCTTTTCTCTGCCAAGTGAACAACTTGGCTAACTGAGAAAAATATTCCATACTGAAATTAATAAATCTGTTTTCACTAATTACAAACACAGCTAAAGAGCAACAGAAGAAGCCCAGTTACATTTCTCTGAGTCAAAACAATATTAAATATGCATCAGGAGTAAATTTGTAGTGGAAAGAAAAGGGTATTTTTTATTCATGCACTTTTTTTTGTGTTAGAGAATGAGCAGAATATGGCTTTAGAATCCTTCTCCCAGTACACACACAGACCCTCACACTGTGCATTTGTAGACACACACATATACAAAGGGCTTAATTTAAAACATATTGTTTATATGAAAAATTAACACGCATTTAAACTATTTATTCTAAACATTTCCTTCAAAAAATATTGGATCAAGGCTCCCATCCTTCTCAGTCATTGCAAATGCTGAGAACAATAGTCCCAAATAACCAGAAGGCACCAGATAGGATGAAAAAGGCATAAATGCCTGCTACTACGTATATATATATACGGAGAGAGAGAGAGAGAGAGAGAGCGGGAGGGAGGGAGGGAGGAGGGAGAGAGAGAGAGAGAGAGAGAGAGAGAGAGAGAGAGAGAGAGAGAGAGTTTCTTCACTTTATTGCATTAAGATGGGGTATTTTTAGACCATGGTTGTTAAACGAGTCACATGTAGCTATGTCTATTCAGCACCCTAAAACAAATAATCCCCTCCCACACACACATTATGTCCTAGGCGGGTACAGTATACAAGTCTTTCACAATACACACCTTCAGTTTTGTGTTAATCAAGTTTTTTTTACAGTTATGTGTGTATGTAAAAATTCCACATCTATAGCATCTAATTGCTCATCTACTCCCAAACTGTTGCACATTTATTTGAGCATGCAGTCTTTTTTAGTTCTGGTACTTCCTTATCTATGGAGGTAGGTATATTCTTTCTCTCTCATGTTTTGGCTGCTGCAGTGCCTTGAAGGGATAAAGAGCAGTGGTGGCACAGCGGTTAGAATGCAGTACTACTGGCTAACTCACTGCTCACTGCAGGAGTTTGATTCTGAACTTCCAAGGTCTGTAAAATGAGGACCCATATTGTTGAGGGCAATGTGCTGACTCTAAACTGCTGTAAAGATGGCTGTAAAGCACTATGAAGTGGTATATAAGCCTAAGTGCTATTGCTATTGGGTAACATTAACTCACTTGCTCTCAGAGAGGAGCGCTATTCAAATCTGCCAATCAGTTCTGAAATATTTTTAATAGGCAATTGATGGTTCTACTGTTAATACAGAAATGTTGGTCATGACCTAGTAAAAGTTAAGTATTTGAGGCCACAATGAATTCATAAGATCAGGTTATAAGCCTGCCTTGAAATCAGATTGATCTAAATACTGTGCCGTATTAAAGCTGTTTGTGTTTAGGCCTTGCGTTTGTTTGTTTTTTTGCATTTCCTCTTAGGTGTAATCTATAAGTTACAGTGATATTAATAGGGCATTTTTTTGTGCAAAAAAGGCACAATTTACATCTAAACATAAATCACTCTCAGAAAGAGAGAGGTAAACTTCTCAAATATAGGTGGTCCTTGATTTACAACTACAGTTGAGCCCAAAATGTCCATTGCTAAGCAAAGAAATTTTTAAGTGAATTGCACCTCATTTTATTACCTTTTTTGCCACAGTTGGTAAGCGAATCACTGCAGATATTGTTAAGCAAATCTGGCTTCCCCCATTGATTTTGCTTGTTGGAAGCCAGCTGGGAAAGTTATAGATGGTGATTATATGACCTCAGGACAGTAGAACTGTCATAAATACATGTCAGTTGCTATGTGCCAAATTGTAATCATGTGACCATGAGGATGCTACAGTGGTGGTGAGTGTGAAAACTGGTCATAAATCACTTTTAAAGTGCCATTGTAACTTTGAAAGGTCATTAAATGAATGGTTATGAGGACTACCTGTAAGACAGAAATATTGTTTCTTTTTCCCATCTCCACTCTTCTTGAAAAGTATTGAAGTTTTTAGATTAATAATTTCCCTGTGCTTTAAGGAGTTAAACCTGCATGTACCACATTTCACTACTATCTTTTTTGATAATTGTTTCAATAATCTTTCCAGATCCAATGGAATCAAACTAAACCAATATCCCAGGCAGAAATTGTTTTATATTATGACTAAAAGTCTGATGGTTTGTGAACTGCAGCAATGGAAGGAGATCAATATCAATAAAGATAATAAAAAGGAATCTCCTAGAGTTTCATTATAAAATGATTTTCAAAACAGTTTATTACCAAGTAAAGAAAAGTGGAAATTAATAGTTTGATGGACAATAAATCAGTCTCCTCCTAATTCTAACCAGAATGACTTTTTTTTAAAAAAAGGGTGCAGATTCTTGGAAATATTAACATTTGGGAGATTTCACCCAAATTTTGAACAGTGGAATGCTCTTCTAAGAATGGTCTTATTAGTTAGCGTGTTGGCTTTAGCTTTGATGGAATTTGCTACATAATATAGGCCCCAGATTACTGGTTTCTGGCCTAGCTCAGCATGTTGGGAGATTCACTTCTTTGTGTATTATTTCACTTCTCAAATTTCTAAGTCTAAGTCAAAGCAAAAATGTTTTATGGGAATTGGGGAGTAAAGGTGGTTTCAACCTGTGGTGATAACTGCAGATGCTGGTATGAAAGGGAGAGAAAAGTCAAATCTTTCCTGACATTAGCATTCTCATCTGAAATCTTGTGAGATTTGGCATTCTTGCCCAAAATCTCAAAAAGATTTCAGATAGAAACACTAACCATTTATAAAATTTGGTGAACTATTCAGATATTAAAATAACATATCAAATGTATTTATTTTTAAGAATCTATATGGTTACTAAGAGTCAACAACAATTTGATGGCATATAATCACTATAAACAGGTAATCTATAATATTTTTTCTGGATTTCTGTTTTTAAAAGGCAGTTAAGAGTATTGTAGCATTTATTTTAAGATACGACAATTTTATTCTAAGCTTGTCAAAGCAGAATACTTGATGCATCTGACGACAGTAGCTCCATCAAGCCTGAAGTCTTCCCTTTCCTGTTTGAACACTACTACTTAAGAGATAATTTCTAAAATCCAGAATAAATTCCTTATGAGTCAGATTTAGGATAAAGTGATTGTGCACGAAAGAAGAGAGATAGATGAGTGCAAATTATTTCTAACTTGTCTTAAAAGAAACTTCAATTCATTCTTTTGATAGAACAGCAGGATCTGGCACATGCCAGACCATAGTACTAAGTTACAGAACTGGAAAGAGAACTGCTAACACCTTTCATACTTCTTCCGGTTCTGACAGTTTTCTTGTAAACTCGTTTATTTTTCTGCCTCTCAAAGTTTCTTTTTCTTGGTCCCTCCCTTGCTTTCCCCTTCCCCCTCCCCCCAGGCAATATCTTCTTGTGGACTTCTTTGCTCTTTTGATTATTTCCATAGTCCTTAAATAAAATAGAATTAAGGGAAGTTATTTGTAGCAAAAAGGATGAAAGGTGTTATGTATCTCTTTGGACACCATACTGTGGCATGAGATAAATTCTTGTGAATTGAGTGGCACCAACTTTAGTTTATAATGGACTCTGTGGGATCTTTGATGGTCTCTCAGCTTGATTGTTTTATTGTAGACTTTCATTACCAAACTAGGTAACGTCATCATGATGTTATCTACTTGGGTAATGAAATGTCTTCAAGCAAACAACCAAGCTCAGAGAGCACCCAGAACCCCACAGTTCAACCCTGAGCCATATATATTATCTCATTTACAGTATCTGTTTTTATTTTTTGTTTTCCTTTTCAATGCTTCTGATTATGACATGTTTTAGATACTGTTAGTTGCTATCAGTGGTCGATGTGGACTAGATTAGTGTATAAATTTTCCAAGGATTTGAGGTGTTCTGTGTAATTGTGGTGCAGTTTTAAAACAAGAGGCATTCTTTTTATGAATATGAAGTAATTTATTTATTTTTTTTGCTTTAATTTATATGCTGCCCTTCTCCGGAGACTCAGGGTGGCTTACAGTGCGTTAAGCGATAGCCTTCATACTTTTGTATATTTATACAAAGTCAGCTTATTGCCCCCACAATCTGGGTCCTCATTTCACCTACCTTTGAAAGGATGGAAGGCTGAGTCAACCTTGAGCCTGGTGAGATTTGAACTTGCAGTAATTGCAAGCAGCAGATGTTAATCACAGTGCTTTAGTCCACTGTATTACAGGCTCTGTATTCAGTAGATGGAGCAATGTTTAGAATCTGTAGGTTTTTTTCACATTTTCCACTCACATAAATGTGTAAGGACAGAATAATCAGATACACACCATCACACACACATACAGCTGATCCCTCATAATTCTAAAATTTAGCATCAACCAAATGACATTAATAGTTAATGGATGGATGCAGATGCTGCTTCAGACAACGCATAGTTAAGCTATTGGCTGCCACTAGGATGATCATTGAGTCAGGTGGTTTCAAAGAAGGGCTAAGTCTTTTAAGGGGTGTTCCCTTTGACTGTTACCTGGATTCTCCATGCTCAGTTATTTAATATAAACTGGGCAGCAGGTTGCCTTAAATGTGTCTTTTCATTTTGGCTATGATAGAAGAGAAAAATCCTTGAGCATAAGAATGTTCCAAAAGATGGGAAGAGGTTGTGGTGAAATGGAATGGGAGTCAACTTTTACAAGTAAGGGGCATCTGTTGTCCTGCTGAAACATGACATACTCTGTGCATTTCTCTTAGGCGGCAAACTGCAGAAGAACGGGAAGCAGAGCGGCAGCAAGCCAATCGCATCCTCATGCAGCTCCAGCAAGAGGCCTTCCAAAAAACCATCAATCAGCCCATCCAAGCAGACCCAATCTGTGTTCACAATTCCTCCCTCTTTGCCCTCCAGAACCTTCAGCCATGGTCAGATGACACTTCCAAGATCACCAGCGTTACTTCTGTGGCCTCTTCCTGTGAGTGAAATCTTAACTTTGCCTATGCATGGACTCTTGATTACAGAGTGGCTGGCCTTATTCAGCATCATCCATAGAAGACACGGTTACCTATGAATGAGCCAGTGGCAGCAACCAGACAATGTCCCCTTGCTTGCCAAAGCTCTGAAAGGTCATACAGTGCTGGTCTAGTGGAGTGTTCTAATAAAAGGCAACAATTTCCTTCTTTGTTTTTCATCGTCATCACCATCACTATCACCGTCTTCTTGAAAAGGGTGATATTGGAACATCCGAAAACTCTTTTGGAGAGAAAACAACCCAAGGTTCTTCCTTTGAGCCATTTTCAAGAAACAACTGCTATATCATTTTATCTGCTGACAAGACAGGAGTTGTTCTCCCATGTAAGTATTACAGGCTGATCATTTTAAGAAAAACCACAATTGCAATCTGAATGAAGAATAAGAACCTTTTTTTAACAAGAACTGCATCTCATGCTGGTGCCCTTTTCTTAAAAGACATTTAGATTTTACAAATAAAATAAAATCTCGCACCTTTTTCTTTTGTCTTTTCCAAGATGAACTCTGGGTTTTTCTTGCTTTATTTCTTTTTGTTCTGTTGAAGGAATATTGATACTAGAATGACTGAGAAATGCAAAGCTTGCCTCATAAACTCTTGTGTGAAGGCTGAAATCAGTTTCACAGCTACCCACAAACTCTGCATTGATCAACTTATATTTTAATAACTCTGAGGCATCTGTGGCATTTTGCAGGGGTAATGCAGTTTTACTTGATAGATTATTTTGGTATTGTTGATGATATTGTTCAATATTTTATTTACTTTTGCTCAAGAAGTCAGCTCCACAAAAGAGGAGATGTGAATCAAACAGAACATCCTTTTCTTTCTATTTCTTGACCAGTAATTTCATGGTTTTCTTTTTATTGTATTGAGAAAAAGCTTGTGATTAATTTAAGCACTTCTTACAGCAAATTCCAAGAAGATACAAAATATCTAAAATATATAGGGGTTTTTTTGAGTTACTTTTTAACCTAGGCATCATTTATATTTAAAAAGAGATGGTACACACAGCCGATTTATCAAAAAGAAATATTTTAGTGAGTTTCTGAGATGCATTCTTTGGTTTGTTTTAAGTTATGCACTTATAAGAAGGTTTCTCTTTTGTGTAATCATTTTCTAAAGTGTTTGTGTAATTTATGTGGAAAAATGAATAAAAGGGCAAAGTATTAGTCTCAATTATTAGAAATAACTTTTTTAAAATGACATTTCTTCAGCTGACTTTTGTGTTGATTTTTCTAGAGGAATATAGTTTCAAAAGTTGCCCGAAAGACCTACTTTGAGCTATGATAGAGAGGGGAATTTCTACTTTTTTAGTTTACTTCAATTTTGTATCCTAACAGCCATGAATTTAAGTATATTCTTAATTTCAAGCATAAAACTTGAAAATTAACCAAGGCTATAAACACACATAGTCCATCCAACCAGTTTTTCTCACTCTGGAATCTTCAAGAAATGCAAAACTATCATCTGTTTTCTAGCACATTTGGAGATTTTCAGTTGGCTAAATTGAATTATAAAATATATTTAAATATTAAATAATAGGTAAACTTTAAATCCGAATGGTCTAGTATTTTTATGTCTAATTTTTAAGAACTGTAGCTTCTGTTGTTTGTAATGAAAAGGTAATCTTACATTAAAACAGAATGATGATTCTGTTTGTGTTCACATAAACAATGAACAAACATTAATATAAATAAATGAAGAAGCCGAAAAACTTACCGCAGCACAAATTCCAGCAGCTCAAAAATGCTCCAAGAACTGTCCCCATGAGTGACAGGCAGATTAAGCCCAGGGGGAGGCTCATCAACTTCCAAAACATATTGTTTTATATAAAGCCTGCCTGCCTGCATATTATTTTCATTTTCTTGGCATCATACCTTAGTATAAAAAATGCTGGGTATTTATTTTTAAAACTTTTTTACTTTATTAAATGATATTAATTTATTAGCTACCCACTCCACAAGATTCTGGGCAGCTTACAAATCCAAATATACATTTGAAACTGCCAACTGAAACAGTCAAAAGCATGAAACAAAATGGAGGATCCCAAACTACAAACAGCCATAGCAAAAACGTAATAGGGGCTCCACAGACACAATTCCTCCGAGGCCTGGGAACATAATTAATCAGGAATTAATGTTTGTAATAAATAATCTAAAAGGCACAAGCTTGAATATCAAGCACCATTAGATATTAAAGCATTGTTTGGAATCACACCTTTGAAGGGATTTAACCTTTAAGGAAAACAGCCATCTTTATAGCCTTATCTGGAATATCACCAGTTGGCTTCATACAATGCATTAAACCCTAAATAAATCTGATTAACAAAACACTAGTTTTGTGTTCCCACAACATGTTAAGCCCAAATAAACCATATTAAATGATGGCCTGTTTCACATTGTGTGCTAAATCAATGACTGAATTTACCCTACATTTTTAACAATGTAGGGTAATTCCATTTTACCATAGATTAGTATATGGCATGAACCTAGCCAATTCTATCTGAATATTATAGATTCTAGAAAGGGGAATGGATGTGTATATCGTACATGATTTCAAAAAGATGTGTTAATCACATTTTAAAATGTGTGCCTTGTTACCCCACCTCTGCCATCTCATTTCTGTACATAGAATAAAAAGGATACAATTTTGTCCTTTGTCTCAAGTACAATTTAAATTCTTTGTCTCAATTTAAATACTTAAATTGATTGTTACAAGATTTGCCAGATGATTAAGAGCCACGGAGGCGCAGTGGTTAGAGTGCAGTACTGCAGGCTACTTCTGCTGATTACCGGCTGCCAGCAGTTTGGCAGATCGAATCTCACCAGGCTCAAGGTTGATTCAGCCTTCCATCCTTCCGAGACTGGTAAAATGAGGACCCAGATTGTTGGGGGCAATATGCTGACTTAGCTTAGAGAAGGCTGTAAAGCACTGTGAAGTGGTATATAAATCTAAGTGCTATTGCTGTTGCTAATGGTGGAGTCATTGGTGCGCTCTGAGCTTGGTTGTTTGCTCCCCATGTTCACACTGATGATGTTACCTACTTGGGTAATGAAATGTCTTCAAGCAAACAACCAAGATCAGGGAGCACCAACAACAACTCAGTTCAATCCTCAGTTACATATATTCTCTTTTGTTGAGTTAGGATAATGGAAAATTATGTTGGATTTAATTCAATAGGCAAAATTATCATTCTGATGTACTGTTATTCTGGCCATTCCTTTAAGCTTCTTCAGAATTCTGCTATATTAACATTTTTTATTTTGGATTCATATGAATGCAGTTCATAGGGCAGAGATCTGAGAGGATGGCATTTCTCAGTTTTGGAAGATTAATGATGAATTCCTAGTTATCAGTCAGCCTTATACAGTGGATACTGTACAACGAGGTGATAATATAAGTCAGCCTTCTGGGGAAGACAGGAAGATATTTCAAGAAGCTAGTAGTTGTTGCTTTAATTCAGAATGTGCGTTAGATTTGGCTACATCCCAGATTTTGAGATGAAGGAGTATAATTTAGACCTAATTTTCAATGTTCTGAAGCAGAGTAGGCTAGTTTGAACTTGAGCTGTCCTTAATAAAGTGCCAGCTCCGATGTAATCTCTTGCAATGTATGCCTTGTGGCAAAGAGAATTTTCATTGTTCACCTGAAGTACCATGGTTGCGATATGCATAGCCAAGCCACTGCTCCTCAAGCAGAAGGAAAATCACAAGCCTATATCAGATGCAAAGCTCCATCAGCCCCCAAGACCTCTTCCAAAGAATCCTGCATTGGGAGAAGATAGGATGTGCTGCGCTAAAATTTTCAGGATCTATAGACGTTTATTTGTGACTTGATTTATTCTTCACCACTTAATATTTTGGATTATAGCATAATTATCACAGGGTATGGTCAGAAAATTCAAGCGGTGCCACAACACTGTGATTGAGGCTCTTTGTTTTATCAGTGCAATGCATCTTGACTTTTTTGGCTACACCTTGTGGAGACCCCTCTCTCCGTTCAGAAGATGTGCCTCAAAATAAGCTTCCTTTCTGAGAAGCTACCCGTGATGAAAAAGCGAGGGCAAAGCTGCTCCATCTCACAGACTTCACAGCGCTTCGGCTTTGCTCAGGTAACAACTGAAGCTTGAGACAACTTGCTCTAACTGGCCTCTCAAGAATGTGTCAGTTTCTTGTCACCAGAGCACCATTTGCTACTTTCTCTGCCTGCCTTTCTGAGGCTGTTCCAGATGGAAAACAATAAGAATCAAAATATTTTAAAGACCGAGAGAGGGAGGGAGAAAGGAAGATGGGACTGAAGATGTGAAAACACATGGTGTCAAACAGAGACATTCGTCAAAATAGAGGGGAAACGGTAATATCCTCAGGGTAAACAATTTTGAGAGTTTCTAAAAAGTTTCTTTTATGGATATACTTACGGTGAGTTTTTAATATATCCTTTAGACTTGCCTCCATTATGGTGAAGCCTTTCAGTAAGCAAGTCATCCTTGTCACTGGATGTCTCAAGGGCACAGCTTCCCTCAGGCTGAGAACTAGATTGCTATAGCCTTTTTAAATGGCATGGGGGCACGCTGAAAAATGAGGGGGGGTCTCATTGTAAAAGAGGGTGGGGCAAAGAAGATTTTAGAAGGCAAGTAGTGACTGATCATTTAATAATTATAACTTTTAGCACAAAAATTTACACATACAATGAACCCCGATTCCCAGATTTGGAATAAATTAGGAATGCATTAATTGAATGAAAGAAATGAATTTCATTACAATAATTTTATTCAGTTTAATGCAGTTACTAAAAAATAATAATAATGCAACCTTCTATTATAGACATAATTTCCTGTGCATATACACACCCTCATAAATGCAGAAAAAGGCACACATGCATGCACAAAAGAAAATCTCGGTCATATTTTATTTCTCACTTGTAGTAACACTGGAAGCAGATTAGAGAAAACTGCAGAAAATTATAGTCAAGGGATACGATAGATTGTGGACACCAGTGACAGCATAGGAGATACACTGTCTATATTTGACCCCAGATAGACTAGCGAAAATGTATAAAGGGATTTCTAATAAGTGCTGGAAACTCCAGGTTCATTTTATTATATATAGTAGTCTTGCATATGTGAAAAGATATAGGATAAACATAATGATAACGCAGAAAATATTAAAGATACAAATATTAATGAAACCTGAAGCTTTTAGGTATTATGGGCAAGCCAATTGAAAATCAGTTTGTGGTGCTATTCCTTCACATGGTGACAGCTGCAAGGATTTGCCAAACACTGGAAAGAAAAAGGAATGTCGGTCGTTGAAGAATGGATTTTGAAATTGACTGACTAGCAGAGATGGCTAAATTAACTGCTTTGATTAGAGATAATGGACTAGACAGCTTTATAAGAAATTGGAAATTGTTTGTGGACTTTCTACCTGTTGACTGACTCTGTGTGTGTGTGTGTGTGTGTGTGTGTGTGTGTGTGTATCAGTTATATATATAAGAAAGAAGAAAAAGCAGTCAACAGGTTAAGCTAAACATTACACTAATCTTCAAATCCTTCTGTTAACCATTTGTTATTGTATTTAACATGTAGAAAGACCACAAACATTGTTGCTAGTGTTGAATGGTATGCTTTTGTTTTGTTTCACTTTGTTTGTTTTTCTGTTTGGTATTTTACTCATTATGATAAAACAATAATATAGAAGAAAAACAAATATAGGAGCCTCTAACAAATAATGTATTTGCAGTTTGATAAATTTAAGGAGCATACGGTAATTACATAATGTTGCACAAAAATTAACTGTTTTTTTTTAATATTCTCCCACATTCACTAATACTTCTGTGTTACAATGTTGATTTTTTGTTTGTTTGTTTGGTGCCTTTTGAGTCAGTCTTGACTCCAGGTGAATGGCTAGAGTAATCCCTGAAGTTTTTTTGGCAAGATTTTCAGAAGTGGTTTGCTATTGCCTGCTTCCTCAGGCAGAGAGTGACTGGCCCAAGGTCACCCAGCTGGCTTTGTGCCTAAAACAAGATTAAAACTCACCGTTTCCTGGTTTCTAGCCTAGTCCCATAACCGCTACATCAAACCCGTTCACCAATATTGATTACTTTTTATTTAGGTGAGCTGGATAACATTTGACACCAGCCAAATCAATAGGTACCATGATTCTCAACCTAGAAAG